AACATGCCCCATGCACTCCACATGCTCTTACATAACGGCCATTCCCACAACCCTAGTCACTGGGCCCCTTTTGCCACACTAATAGCCGCCACAACAAGAGTGGCAGGCCCAGTGACGCACAACACAGCACCACGCTCTCCACCTCCTACACCTCAAAAATTATAAGACCTCCCTGAAAATAAGGCCAAGCACTTATTTTGAGGGTCAAAAGGAAAAAAAAGGACCCTGTCTTATTTTAGGGAAAGCACGGTATATATACATATATGTGTGGTACGGGAAATTCTTTGGTGCAGTGTCGACTTAGATTTAAACCAGGCTATGAGCTTTTTGCCAATTTTGGGGCTGAAAGTTTGGCTTATAATAGAGGGCAGTTTATATTGGGAAATGTTCAGATATCCTACGGAGACATTGAATTTATCGTACTTATTTTACTTGTATTAGCAAACCTTAAAAAGTTATTTCGTATTAATTATTTGTCAAAATCTGTAACCGGTATATGACCTGAGGGGGAGAGAAAAAAATAAAGCATATTCCTTGTGATTTAAATAATGTTATATTATGTAGAACTGTTTCCTGTAATGATTTAAAGGCAGTGGAGTAATTAAATGAACTAAAAGCCTAACATATTTTATACAGTTTCCCAATTAAAGAGAAGAAAGGAGACATTTTTCTGGAGTCTGTGTTTGCAGAAAAAAATGAGAGATAAATTAATTACAGTGTAGGTTTTACTTCCCCTTGCAGTCTGAAGCTTTTCGTCCTTCCAAAAATTACTTTAGCTTACATTTGACACACCCAACCAATGAAATGCAATCTGTTTAGCTGATTTGGAGATTTACATGAGGATATATAAATACCTTCTCTCTAAACATATTGAAGAATTTTTTGAAAATAGCAAATGCATATTGAACTAATATCATAAATGTTCAGACCAGTTCAATCTATAAGTTAAAAAGAAAAACCCTTAGTAATCCATGATAAAACATGATAAAGTTATGTATGAGTGAAACCGTACTTCATCAAATTAATATGGCCTGTCCATTATTTAAGAATATCCATGAAATCAGAGAGTAAATTGCCACCAAATGAGTGATATATATCATTTGCATCAGTGAATCTTACGGGCTTGATACGGTTGTAATAAAAAATGCTATCCTTTGTATAGTGCCAGCATTATACTATAAATAATTAGACCACACTGAAAATTTATTCCATTCGATACAAAGCCGATTATTTCTGGGTTTGCTAAATTAGGGCTTCACTGGATTATGTTTTTACAAAAATCATAATCAACATCAATATTATGTCCTGCTCTCTTACAGATCGATAAATAGATGTATTTTGTCACATTCATCCTGAACCTTGCTCTTTATTTGATTGATTGAATGAATCAATATCCCATCTTTCTGTTTATTCAAATATTTGACATAACCTCTTGTAAGCTCCCATGTTTCCTAGTACTGCATTTGACTATATATTTTAAAAACATTTTCCCACCCAACATCACCAACTTTAATCAGTATTGACGAAACACTGTGTTACTTAATTTTTTGCTAATGTTACTTTGATTATAGTGGTCTCAGAGAAAAAAAAATGTTTATGCTAAAGGATACTGTAACTGTACCCTTTTATATATGACATATAGCACATTGTTTCTTTATATACCCTCTATAAATATTATGAATGCACTCAGAGGAGTCGTTTTAGTACTCCATGGTGCAATTTTTCCAGGCATTTATGTGCAGTTGTCAAATATATTTTTTTAAAGATGCCACAGTTTTGCATCCATACAGGAATTTGTAATATTTGCCAAAGGTCAACAGAGGCAATCAAAGATGGATGATTGATTGATGTTTTGGCTGGCTTGTCAGTTTTTGCCTTGCAGTCCCTTTCTTTAGCTCTGTGTCCTTACATTTGGTAGCTAGAAGAAAAATGACAGGTTTTTATTTTTTTGGTGGCCAGAAACTGGCTCCTGGGGATGTTAATTGCATTTTCAATACCAATGCCTAGAAATCTACCTCTCTGAAGTAATGCAGAATTATACTTCTCATCAACTCAGTGATTGATTCTCATTAACAGGGTGTCTAATGCAAAACCGATGGAATTTTAATTTGAATTCGCACCGTCTTTTTATCAGCTGGGAAAAAATCTTGTTTCTCAGGGAGGTGAAGTCTGAGATCATTAGGAGCAGGTCTGCAGAGACGCTTATTGTACCTTCTGAACATGGACTGTCTCCTTTATGCCACATGACAAAAGGAGAAGATCTCTTCCAACAGCACTGAGATGGTTTCACTGGGACATTCTCCACTTCATTTCAAGATGAAAGGACAACAGGGAATTGGGGCAGATGGTACAAGGTCCTGGACCACAGCAAAGCAGGCTGTTTGGTGGCATACAACTGTTGATAGTATAATGCCAGGATGGCGAACCTATGGCTCAGACCCTCACCTCTCTCCAGGCCTTCCAAAAAGCCATTAAAACCTGGCTTTGCCGGCAGGCCTGGGGGTGAT